TTTCTTTCTTTCTTTCTTTTTTTCTTTCTTTCTTTCTTTTGGCCTTAGGCTACCTGCGCTTGCCAGAGAGAGATGGGGGGGGTGAGAAATCACCCCCTCAGGGATGGCCAGGCCTCAGTCCCTTCTCCATCCTCTTCCTGGGATTTTAGGCATGCATGCACATGCACTCAGTGTGAGTTTCGAGGTGTGAGGTCGGGACTCAAACCATGGTTGGTTCTGTGGGAATCCAGTGCCTCAAGCACCACACCACCTGCTGGCCCTGGCCCCCCTTTTAAGAAGGGAGAGCCCTCACCCTGCCTGGGACCCTCACTGGGGACAGTGGAAGCTCTTACTAAGACAACCAGGCACACCTGCCTCTGTGACTGCCCACAGCCTCCTTCCCCAGGGACTCATTCTGCAGTGACTTGTGTCACTCCGCAACCTATGGCTGACAATGTGTCCTTGGGCCTGACTCTGAGAGAAAAGAGAAGCCATCAAATCTGGCCAGGCCCTTGGTCAAGCTCTAAGGCCAGACTGTGGGGGTCTTTCTCGCTAACGTTGACCTATAGTTTCCATCCTGAGGTCTGAGTTGAGCCACTGAGCTCACTGCTCCCAGAGATCAATGAGGCCTGACAGAGTTAAGAGTCCCTTGTTCAAGGACTACTAGGTGCACCCACAAATTGGACATGGATTATTTAGTGCACTCTTTCTCAATACACCCTCGTTGGGAAGAGGCAAGAAGTCTCCAAGCAGCCCAATATGTACTTGGAGAAATACGAACTTGGAGCTAGGAGGAGAGACACAGGAAAATAAAGGAATTGGCCAAGGCTTCCTTCCATCACCCAGCCGGATAGAGGAAGGAGCATGGACGAGAGAGAAAGAGACTAACCGTTTCTGCCTGGAGTTGTTCATATAAACACACACATATATCATGCACACACACATAAAATGTCGTTACTGCGTATAGTTCGATTTGCTACGATGAGCATATGTTACTATAATTTAACATTTTAAAATAAAAAATGAGAAAGCAAATGAACACTTTACAAATTCATCCAGGAGAGGAAGTTTGCACAATAGATGGGAAGAAAAGGAATGTGGGTCCAAATCCTAGCTCGGAAACAGTGGTCCTCAGTCAGGGCCAATTTGCACCCCCACCCCCAGCCCCTTCCAGATGGTGCCAACGTCTGAAACATTTTGGGTCGTCACATCTAAGAGGTGCCGCTGGCATCTAGTGGGGAGAGGCCAGGGAGGTTGTTACACACCCTCCATTGCAGAGAAACCCCCCCCCAACCATTACCCAGACCCAAATGTCCATGGTGCTTCCATTGAGAGACCCCGCTCTGTCTCAGGGCTTTAATCACATCAAAAATATCTACCATGGGTCATCGCGGTAAGGATTAAGTGTAATATATGTTTGGCCTCTGGCACAGTACCTGGCCCATTACCTGTTACCCGTTATTTTTATAGTCCTAATACTTAAAACCAGTGGGCTTGCAGAGAGCTGCAGGGAAACAACCAACACTGCTCATTTGGCTTCCTTGACTCAGTCACCTGGAGGAAAACTGAGCTGGTAACTTTTAGTTCTGTTTATGCTGAGTCCTAAAATAGCTTTGAGCTGAGTGGAAAGATCTGCTTTGAATTAGTTATCGTTCCATGACATTTTGTTGCTTATCGTTTCATGGTAATTGTGGCACCCGTACTTACTGCATGGTTTAAGTGAATAGGCATCATTTTACAAATAAAGAAATCATTTGCAAAGATGTTGTGATCAATTACCAAGCAGGAAGTATATGTTCTAAATCTCACATTCATATTTCAAAAGCCGTTAAATTTCCCAGCCTAAAGGGACAAAACTAATTCCGGGCGTTGCCATCCACATGTTCAGAATTAGTGAGGATGGAAACCAAAGAGAGATGGGACGACAGTTTTCAGTCTTAAGCGAGATTAAGCGCCTTACATGGCAAGTAGGTTGGACGATGAGCTATGGTCTCAAGAACCAAAGTCATGTAGGGAGAATCAGTGGTCCCCTCTGGCTTGGTGTCAACAGCCATTTCGAAACATTTCTACCCTCCACTGACAATGCAAAGTTATGAGAAAATACGGAAAGCACACGTGACACCCGCTTGCTGGCGTGGGTAGGGTGACCTGTGGGAAGATGGCTGTGCAGGGTCTAGCATCTCATGGAACTAAGACGTCCTCCTAAATCCAGAGGGGACACTGAGACGCTTCTGTGAAAACCTCTTTTCCAGACTGCTGTTCTTCAGCGGGTGCTGTTGTTTTTACAGAGGAAGGGAAATCACTGAGCACACTACGAGGAGCCAGGGACGGAGAGCCGGAGAAGAGAGAGGAGGGACTGGGTGGGCTGTGGTCTTGCTTTGCATCTAGACTGGTGAGCTGCGAGGGAGGCTGCTTCAGGGGGATGAACCAGAGTGCTGCGTTTTGGACTCCCACTGTGGTGGCATGAACTCTTTAAGAGATCTGAAGGCTCTAGATTCTTTTCATTATCATTGTCTAAAAATCCCAGCATTCATGGCAAAGCCCACTTGCGCTCCCAGAGCTAGAACCTGGACAACAGCCTTCCCCTAGCATTCCGGACCAAAGCTGGCTTCATCCAAACCTGCTTTTTTTGCTTCTCTGGTGTGACTGGACCTTGCTTCTGATAAGTGATCCTTGGGTGAAGAAACATATAGGTGACACTGAGATCTATTTTAAGACAAGATGAATTATCACCTTTTAAAAACAGTGTTAACAACCTAAGGTCTTGGCTAAATGTGTTTTATATAATTCTCCTAGAAGAGAATTAACCAATTCAAAGAACTTCTGAGGGGGGGAGGTCCCATGTGTTTTGAAAGAAAGGATAAGAAAGGGCGGCTTTCTGAGTGTTGCACTTTGCCTCTTAATTATGGAGTTGTTTTTCTCAGAGCCAGGCAGAGAGGGTTACTGCGGGCCCCTTGGAAGACTATGCAGAGGTAAAAAGGGTAGAACTGAAGATGACCACACAGATTGGGAGCGGATGGCCCTCCTGTCACGATTCATGGGTGTGCCGTAACGTGCTGCAGTGGTCACTAGGCGGCTGGGGTAATGCTGTATGTTTAGCCTGCGGTGGGAGGGCTTTTATGTGAGTGGACACTCATGGCCATGGGGCCTTCCCTGCGGGTGCCAGCAACACAGAGTGCTCTAGAGCGGAGGGATCTCTTAATCTCTGAGACA